GAGCTCCTGAAAGGGGGGGGAGGGGGTTCAGTGGTGGTGGGGCGGGGGGATTGTGCGGTTTCTTCCATTTTCTTTTTTTTTTTTTTTTTTTTTTCTTTCCCATGTGGACTGGGAGCGCTAAAGGATGGGGGAAACTACGGTAGGGTAGGGAGGGTTCGCTTTTTTTTTTAAATTTTTTTTTTTTTTTCGTACGAGTGCAAGTACGGATCAAGTTATGGTGTCATACTTCGTGGTCTAATTACCGGTAGACTACGGTACGGTTGCTCGAGGACCGTACGGTATTTTAATATCGGACTTTGAATTTTGGATGGGAGCTCTGGTGTGCACGGGCGATTTGCCACATTCGTACATTTATTTAATCCTTGTACGGTATTCGGGTGAGTTACTCGGGTGTGGTGGTTAGTGATGGGACGGACTGGGGGTTTTGAGTCCAGGAGCTCAATAGTCGGAGGTAGAGAGAAGAAATTTTCTATTTGGTAGGAATGATGCCAGGAAGGGTGGAAAAACTTTTGGCATCTTGATCCCCTGTCTTTTCCATCCCCGATTACCTGTTGTCTATAAGAATAGCAGGTACGGTATAGTACTGAGCACCGGCCCCCATCGCCTGTTATACGATGAGGCCGGAGTAAGGAGGGAAGGTAGGGGAAGGGAGGTCTAGATCTTCGACAGCGCCTCCACGAGTAAATTTAGTTCTCTCTCTCTCTCTGTTCTTCTCCTTCACCTCGGAATCTTGAATGGTCATGCATAAGTGAATTGACCTGAGTGGTTCGTGGTGGTGGAAGAAAAACGACAAGACAATTGACATCTGAATTTCTCAGCTCTCTCGGTTTAGCTGGAACGAGCTAGCGTAAAGTAGCGTAACGACTAGACCATACATATTATTTGACAAAACTTTCAAACCCAACAGTTCCGTCAAGGTATCTTTCCCCTCTCCGAGGGCAGATGTGAAGAAAAGAAGAAAATGGTTAGGTTAGGTGATAAGAAGCGAAAAAAAAAGGGTATCGACAAAAGCTCCTCCAATCGTGCGCCTATTATACACGGGCAGAGGGGACAAAGGGGGTATCAAAGACGACTGACTCCGAAAATAGAAAGTGATGGGTGTTATATCGAAGGGAAAGTCATAGACATATACAAAATAATTAAGAACTATTACACGTTAAATAGGGACCCCAGAACGAAAGAAACCGTGAGAGTTGGTTAGAAAGGGTAGCAATCGGCTGCAGAGAAACGAGAACTGGTGCCACGTCGAATACGATCTTTTTTTTTTTTTTGGTATCGTACCCATCTGACGAGGGAGGTAGGAGGGTAGCTCATCGCCTGCCCTTCGGCCCCTATCCGAGAGGGATTCCCCAAGCGCCCGTTCCCAAACATCAAAAAGAAACCCAGCCGTGACCAAGATAACCCCCTCATAAAATAAAGTCGAGATATGAGATCCACATCGTTTCGGCAAATAGATCACATGACCGGAGAAGGAGTGACTGCTGACTCCATCCGTTCGTTTCTCCGCCTGCGCCAAAAAAAAAGGAAGTCGATACAGGTGATGAAAATTTGACCGTATGAAAAAGAATGAACAAACTCCCAAAGACTCGCATAAAAAAGGTGATCCGCCACTACCATCACCTTTTTCCAACAGCTGAATTCTTTAGGGAGCAGTCTCCTTCTCTTTCAATCCACCGATTCTATCCAGGTCAACCGATGCAAATCTTTCCTCCGATTTTTGTTGGTATGGTGGAAGACCATCGTTTTCCATGGGACGAACAAAGCCAACTCCAGCCTCACCAACCTCTACAACCACAACTCTGCCGGAGACTCTGCGCCCTTGCTTATCCTCCTCTTCTGGGAATGTTATCCGGATTTCGGGAATACTCTCGGGTGTAAGAGGCATCGGTGATGAATTATCGATGAGATGTTGTTTCTCGGAGTATACAAGGGCAGAATCACGGGTAGAAATGGTAAGGCCACGGTGATTCTTGTTCGATGCTTCGTAAGAGGGCAGGGTACCAGCAACTTTACGGCTTCTGCGAATGCGGCGGATGAAGAAGAGTGAGCCTCCAAGCACCAAACCGAAGGAAACTAAAACGACTAGAGTAATGAGAAGGTGGGTCATGATGTTATTCTCGTGTGCACCCGGCGGGCGGTCGTCGTCACGGCGTGTAATGATAGCAGGCATTGCGAAAGAAAGGGTGATATTGCGCTGCCACTCGTTTTATTCGTCGGCGTTTGCTCTCGGGGTATCGTGAAACTAGCGAGCGGGGAAGACTGAGCCAAGAACTTCTGGACGAGGGAGGGGGAGGAGGCTGTTTTGTCGATTAGGGCGGTGTACAAGAAACGACCGTGGCTGATTTAGCTGTTCAGCAATGTCTCATCAGCAAGCGCAACAAAACCTATGGGACAGGACGCCATGAAGAGGGAAAATAGAACAAAGGGCGCAGAATGGAGAGGGCCGGTTGTGGCAGAGCCAAGTTGTAACCGGGGTGTGGAGGCGGGTAAGAATGATTGCGCTGTGCAAGTATGATGCAAAGCCCGGCACAGTGAGATAAAGGCCAGAGGCAATCTAAATTTGGAAGTTTGGCACGCGGCGGTATAGTGGGCAACACAGCCGGCCGGTCCAGCCAACATTGCGCAGCGGAGCAATTGTATAAATGAAAGATTAGTGGAGACTCACTATTACTAAGGCCGAATTGTGCCGCTAACAAATTTAACGAAGAGTAAGTGGAAACGAATACCGTGAGGTAAAAGAGGTACCGAGAAGGTGGAGTGAGGGTGAAACTACCTTCGTCCTTTGCTTCTTCTTGTTTAGAGAGAGTGTGAGTGAGTGAGTGATTGCAAACAATTCAAAAAGACCAGCGAAAGAGTGAAGCCGGACAATTGGAATTGCTCGTCGGAAAGGAAAGAATGGAATGGAGGGGGGAGGATTAGGATAGGGGACCGAAGTGAGGGTGAAGAGGAAAAGAAGGGGGAAAGGAGGAGAAAGAGGGAAGAACCCCAAGGGAGCCCTTGGATGAAAAGGTAACCCTTGGTGGATGAGAGGGCGAACACAGACTTGGAAAGGGGTCTCTTTCGCACCCGCCGCCGGGTTGGGGGTTGTAATTTCAGTGCGGTAGAATCAGGGGTGTGAATCCTTTTTCTGGATGTTCCTTCTGCTTTGTTTGGTAGGAAGCTAATGGCGTTTTACCCAATTTGGGGTCAGAATACTCGAGTAGAAATAGTTGCTCTCGGTTCTAACTACTTCAGGGAGTTTGTTCGTCTCGGTTGGGCGCTGTGAAATTCACCATCTGTCTGACTATTCCTGATATGGCTAGGTATCCACATCAAAAAGCAAAAGAGGCGCTGATTTGGCTCTCCTCACTCGATCCCGCAAACTGCTCGGGTACCCGTGGATTCTCTGTTCAGGAGATCCTTCGGTTGACTGAAATCGCAGCCCGCTGTACTCGAGTACCACCATCATACGGATCTCGCTGAAATTCATCTGTGTCACGAGAGACTCAAACTCCAGAGATGAAGGTTAAAGGGTCTATAAAAAATGTGTATACAAGTCCTTACCTCTATATGCACCGGTAGTAGGTACAAGTACGGTACTGTACTCGAGCACTGCAAAGTACGGTAGGTACGATACCGTACTATCTCTACTCGAGCTTGCAGATGAGGTACTCCCTTTATACCCGAGATTAGCCACGATTTCTCTCCTTCTTTTCACCTCCCCCCCTCCTCCCCCTCGCGCTCCTTACCCATCAATCCATCGGAGGGGGGAGCGGATCCGGCGAATTTCAAATTCCAAGGATCTCGGAGAGCACTGATGCGATAGGGGGGGGGTCTTACGTGTGAGTACGAGTGCCGGTACAGTCCTGTATGTGCGTATGACCCGCTCTCCAACAATGATCTTGCCGAACCTGATTTGTAACTTTGGAATATTCTAGCCGCTGTCAACCGAACCTTCCAACCACGCACAAACGGCTGTGCATGAGAGAGGAACATCAAGAACCCGGGAATTAAGAACCCGTTTTTAGAAAATGGTTGATGAAAAACCAAACGACCAATGGACTAACAAAAAAAAATGTTAGTTGGAGAGAATTGTTAGTGGGACTGCCTCGCTATATGGGCCGTTCCGATAACGTAACGAGGCCCGGGATTTTCCAGAACCCTTTCACGCAAACACGGCCCCAAGCCTGAGTCGAATGACCGGAGCCAGGGCCGGGGCACCAGGCAGTAGAGAATCAGACCAAACATCAGACGACGAAAGAGGGGAGCGGCTCTCAGCATACTCTTAATCCTTAATCACTCGGGGTATACGAACGTTGTCAGACGTAGCCCCGAACCTCTGCACACTTCCACGGATACCGCATTGCCCAGACTCGTCACGGCGTTGGCGTGGAAAGACACAGAGAAGCTGCTTTTGGCGAACACTCTGCTCTCAAAGATGATCGGCCACCCTCCCCATGCTCGTCTTCATGACAGTGCAGCAATTGCGTTTTTATAAGACATACCGGGTTCCCGGAGGCAATTAAAGAAGGGGAAGAAGCCTTTAGGAGGCCCTGTTTCCTCGCATGTCTCGGGTAGTCGTCATTACTTCATCGTGTTGAAGCATCGATAATGACCGAAATTTTCGATTTCACGGAGAGATGACTACACGCGAACTTCATATCAATGACGAAAGGACGCGCAAGGAGCCTACTTACCCACAGGAAAATGGGAAGGAATGATGGTAGCCCAAGGTGAGAAGAAAGTGAGCAAATCGGACCGCTTCAAAAGCGATAGGGGAGCGTGACACATCGTGTTCCCTGTAACCCCTCCTTTCCATTCCCCTCCTCCGTTTTGGCCTTCTCGTTTGGGCAGGATTAACACCTTTCTCTATCACTGAAAACAAAGATGGGCCGGCAGATATTATCTCACACGAACTCCCCGTGTTCGTGCATCCGCTTACCGACTGAACTTGGCGGATGAATCGAGAAGAACAGACCTCAGCTCATGGTTGGAAGGGGCAAGAAGTGGCGGCAGATTTGTTTACTCCCTGATCGCTGTTTGCTTGGTTCTGTTTCCCTGTCTCAGGCGCAGGATACTATCCCGTGCCTTGTCCGAACCGCTGTCCATTGATGCCTTAGCATGCTGAATCTGCTAGTGCGGGGGCCCGCAATATCACATACATCCAGGTATTGATTTTTTCTTTTCTTTTTCGGTCTGGGTGGATAATTAATCTAATTTACATATTTATTTCCATAGCCAATCCGCTTGAGAATGGTAACATGATTTAGGACCAACTTACGTACGTGGGCGTTTCTAAGAGGGGGTTCATCAACTAATTTATGTATGAAGTAACGATTCCCAACAAAGGGGAATAATTTGGTCTGGGTTCCCCGAGAAAACTGACAGTAGTCTCGTTTTGGGGTTATTTGACAGCTGAGCCGGAACATCGGGGGCTTTTGGCCGGGAAATGAGGCCAGATCATGAGCGAGGCACCGGAGTAACCTAAATGCCAAATAAGGGCGGGGTGCGGCCGCGGGTCTGACTATCGGCACGCTTTCCTGGAAACACCTTGGGCATGGAAATGGCCAAAATGGAACGAACAGGGAGAGCATCGAGGCACTCCCGGAGCCCAGGTCAGCTCGGATAAACATATCAAGTCGGGACAAAAAAACCCGGATAGCTGGGCTCAAAATTTCATTTCATTCATCCCCAATCACTCCTTTTGATCATTGCCATTCATTGGTGTTTTGGTTACCGGGTATGACAAAGGTTTTTAGTTAGTGCTAAGACTCCCCATCAAAAAGAATGGCCTTTGCTATCCCATTTTGACCAAGGGCAGCTTAACACAAGCAAAATAATTTTACCGAGCTGTGGCTTTGTGTATATGGGAGATTAAAGATCGCCTGAAACATATTATACCGGTATTGAGCATGCAAGGGGACTATGCAAAAATGAAACCTTACTCGTACAGTCAAGGGTCCCGCTGTGTATAGATGCACCAAATCCGCAGAAAACTTCATTTGGAATTTACAATTCTATTGTGAAAGGTATTCCGTGCCGCTCTGCCCTCGAGATTTGGTTGCTATTGTAGGACATGATGACGGCCTTGCGGTATATCATGCGCTTCGGGATGCGACACTTTGGGTCGGGTCAATGCGGGCTTCCGGCACCGATATGATACTTAGCTACGGCAAACCCTCTGCGGACTCGAGTTTCCGTGATGGATTTTCTTTGTTTCCTGATTTTCGCGTTTTGTCCGGAGAAAGGCCGAAACCCATCACGAGTCGTTGGTCATATTGGTCACACTTGGAGAACTCCAATTGAAATCATTTCTGGGGCGCCAGCATGCGGAACACCACCGGGGAACCGGATACGCCATCTGCGCGTGTCGATAAGCGGTCCGCTTCTTTAGGGGGGAGGAGGGGGCGTTGCCGTACCGTATCCCCCTCCGCGAGGAAAAGGTGGCTGAGGTCTGGACCGAACGCCAACAACCCCAGCTGTCACAGAACACTGCACATGACTTTGCCATCTTTTTATTTCATTTTTTCTCACTGCTTTTCCGTCATCATTTTTATTCAAGAGTTCCAACAAAATGCCTGGATGAGCGATGGGATAAGAGATGAAGGAGTCGATGGGGCAAGGTCAAAGATGAAGAATGATTGACTGAGATTACCATGAGGCTCCCCTGTGCGACGGGTGTCTCGAACCTTCGGAGGATCCCCGGTTCTGAAATCTTGATTCTCGTTAGTCTAGGGCGCGTCGGGGGTGGCTGGCTTGGTGGCGTTATAACTACGGATGTGTGCACACCCAAAACTCGGTACATTGGCGTCAGGAAGTTCTGATACCGGCCTGGGAATAGTAGGAAATTCACCCACTCCTTCCTATCTATCGTACAGAACACGAGACCTTTGCAAATAGTTGAGATCCCCTTGAGGAACTCCTCGCCTCGAGGACAGCGTTCCAAACCACAATCGTTTCGCTTTTCGGCTAATCCCCCAGCTGCAAGCTCTTTTCCAGTACCCAACTCCCCGGGTCAATATGCAAAAAGCAATAACATTCACAGGGCCACAATGATATATATACAGGTATGTTTTCGAATGAAAACTACGGGGCCCATGGCACAATACTAGTACAGTACTACGGTAAAGCACTTGAATACCGGTCCGAGTGCTCGTACAATCCTGAAGTTCAACAAGAGGGGTAAAAAAATAAAATTTGACGCTCCCGACACCACTCTCCGGTCCAGTGAGTGGAGGAGGTGCGCAAGTGGGGGAGGTGTTGGGTGGAGGCGTTGGGCCTTGCGCACTGACCTACTAATGGAGAGCTCGACGAATGCTAAGGTTATCTCGGCTGGTGTAACACACAACCACCGCCAAGTTGACCTTTTGTGGAGCTGTCCGTCCTGATCGGACAGGTTTCGTTCGACGCGACGCAACCAGGGGTCGTGGGCCTTACAGGACTGGCGGGAAGGGTGGGCCCATCGTTTCTCGAACTTGCGGTAGATCTTCAGCCGTACTTTGCAACCTCCATCCTCCCATTTGAAGAAACATTTTCCTTTGTAACAGCCTCATGTCACAGTCCATCGCGTATTCAAGCATGCAGCCAGTGAGTTTTTGAGGGAGACATGATATTAATTTTGACCGGGGAGAAAGTAGACCCGGGTAAACCAGTTGGGGGTCTTTTATATATATATATATACGAGTATATATAATTATGATTCTTGTTTTTTTCTTTTCTTTTTTTCTTTTCCTTTTTCCTTTTTCCTTTTTTTCCCTTTTTTTTTTTTTTTTTTTTTCCCGGTAGGTAGGGGTTTCAATTGGTGGGAAACACGAGTGCAACGATGGCGTAAGCATGATGGAAACAATCATCTTTCCCATCTCTTCAACGCTTTTAAAATGGAGTCGTCAGTTCTTGCATGCAGGACTGAACTGTCCTTTAGTCTAGTCTACATAGTGGTCCAGTGCCATTCATTGTTTTCATATATATATATATATTTGTCTATTTATTTATTTATTTATCTATCTGTTTATTCATTTGTTCATTTATTATGCGCAAACAAGATGCGAGAAAGGAGGATATCAAAAAGTTTCCGCACGCTGGGCATCATGCCGTGCGGAGCGGTGTGGTAGCGAGGGGGAGGGGCAGGCAAAATAGTTGTGGACTCTCGTCAAAGATGCTTGCTTACATTACGATGTTGGAGCAGCGGGGAGTCATACTTCCACACCACTTGACACGTAGGCGAAGGCACAGCGCATAAACCCTCATCAGCCGCCTCCTCGTGGAGAAGGATATCGCGATAACACGCCAGCGTTCCCCTTGATCGTGACCCTGAGCCCTCCCGACCTTTGTCCGGTAAGCAGAGAGATCTCAATGCCAGTATCTGTGGTGCCGTCAGAACATGACGCCCTGGTTACTCCTGTAAACTTTCACAGTGCGACTGTCAAGGGCTACTACGGAGAGGCAGACTAAAGGGCTCTCTCTCTCTCTCTCTCTCTCTCTCTCTCCCATTAAGCATGAATTATGATGCGAAGAGCAAAGAGAAAAGGCGATCGATAGATTGAGTGCATTCTAATTTATGTCGATGTCGTTGGGCGTGGGCTATGAGTGTTTACAGTAAAGAGGCACGGTATGTTCTAGCCCACGGTAG